TTTTTTTTTAAAGAAAATAGAAGTAATTTCATTTTTTTGTTTCACATTTACCATTGTTACTAACGCTTCTTTATGAAATAAGTAATGCTGAAATTTCTAATTAATTAGAAATGTATTAAATTACACTGACTTCTTTGCGAAACAGTAAAGGGACAGGCCAGGGTAGATACTTTTTTCAAGGTTGACATGCAATTACAGCTAAACTATATTAATTAAAATATTGAAATTTACTGACAACAAAGTAAACGTTGTTTATTATTATGTACGTTCGTCATTTTCCACAAATTTTCAACTAATCTATGTTTTTTTCATTTAGACACCATTAGTACCTCTTAACGTAGAATCACCCATATATCGTGGTAGATGATCAACATGCTCAAGCTATTCCTATAGAGAAGAAAATGGACGATCGATCAGCACACATAAGAACCCGGTCCGGCCGTCCAGTACATTTCCCAAGTTATATCCTAACAGGCTAATCCACATAGTTCCTCACTGGAAGGGGGTCCTGTGGGAACACTCGGTATATTCAGTAGACAATTCAAATGTGTAACAATTAAAGTGCCTCATTTGGCCTACTTACTAAAATCGCGACACAGTGCGACCAACTAGGTAATAGACATTTATACACACAGACGTAAATTGCTGAAACATCTAGTACCATGAGACCAATGTAAATAAATTTAGTATAAATAGAATGTAAATAAATCAATAAACTAGTCGTAACACAACGCTCATTCTTATTTGAATACTGCAATAGTATCAACTCTTGGATACTGCAATATCAACCTCGAATGCTGCAACAGTGTTAATATTCATCATAGATACAGATAGTAATCAAACGACCACAACATATTCTACCGAAATTGTAATTTAAAAAAGAAAAAACAAAATAATATGTTATATTTAAAAAAAATAAGTTATTCAAAGAAGAACAAGATAAATGGTAAAAGATAATTAAAGAACAAAATACTCGGGTGCCACTTTGCGGAAGCAAAGAACCAAAAGATAACTATAAAAAATTTACCTCGGGAGACTCAATCAGGGATTCCTGGATTTCCTTGATTAAAACAGATCTCGAAGTCTCTTTACTCTAACAGTAAAATAACCAAATTGTGAGCACCAGGTAAATAATTATTTAACAATACAAGGGGCACAAAAAACTACCCTATACAATGAGGGGATCGGTGGTTGACTCCCGTCAAAGTCGAGTAATGTTGTGGATTTTTTCCGGTGCATGCGGCTGACGTCCCTGCACTGGCTTAGCCAGGGTTCCTGAGGGTGGTAGGCAAACGATACTTCCCCTGTGCAGATTAAATTGGTTCTCTTTGTAGAGCGTGATTTCGAATCCGGAGAGATACTGTACATCTACACTAACAGTTAGTGATTTGAATCAGTTGCCTCCTGTACTGGGAAGTTATTCGTGTGGACCTTAAGAGTCGCACCAGTGACGCAATTTCAATAAAATTATAAAGCACAATTACTAGACGTTTATTTTTTTCTTTATTCCAATTATAATATAGTTGTGTAGTGTAAATGTAATACACATAAAATCGATAGAATTTAAATTTGCTTCCTTATAAAACATTTTTTGAATAAAAATAAAAAATTAATGAGGAAGAAAACAACTGGGTTTGTTTNCTCATTATACTCTCGACTCTTGTTCATTAAACATACTATTTCATACAGTACCTGCCAAAGGTTTTGTTCAATCATGAATAGTAGTGCGAGTCGAAAACAAGCGTTAAAGCCTTTAATACATCTTCAAATATAAATAAACATCTCGTTGATATTTTCAGTAGTAAATGATACCAATAACAGCACATACTATAGGTATACGTGCTTTCAAATAAAGTAAACCAAACGCTCTTTTACAAAGCTAGTCAGTAAACGTAAAGTTAACTTTGTTTGGCAGGTGCTCCAAAGAGAAACAAATATTACCAGGTATCTTATTAAATTTAGTTGAGCCTG